ATCGTGTTATGTGTCACTGCCAAACAACACGCCAATATGTGTTCAGCAACATCTCCTGAGTACAGTGATACCACCCATGCATAGGCTTGTCGGATTGTTTGGGGGCTAAAAGGCCACATTTGGCAGGTGCGCATATCCATTTTTCAACTTGGAATTTTGACATGTAGTCAACCTGCGCACATGTCCTATTTGGGACATTTGTAAGGCCGGCCAATGTATTTTACCCCCACCAAACCATATATTTTTGGAAAGTAGACACCCTAGGGTATTTCAAATGGTGGTTTTTTAACACTTTCCATGCACTAATTCTACCACCAGACATTGTCAAACATTTAGGTAGTCATTTTTTGTGTGTTTTTTTTCACACACATTGTACTTTAGGCATGAATTAACAAATCGTGTTATGTGTCACTGCCAAACAACATGCCAATATGTGTTCAGCAACATCTCCTGAGTACAGTGATACCACCCATGCATAGGCTTGTCGGATTGTTTGGGGGCTAAAAGGCCACATTTGGCAGGTGCGCATATCCATTTTTCAACTTGGAATTTTGACATGTAGTCAACCTGCGCACATGTCCTATTTGGGACATTTGTAAGGCTGGCCAATGTATTTTACCCCACCAAACCATATATTTTTGGAACGTAGACACCCTAGGGTATTTCAAATGGTGGTTTTGTAACACTTTCCATGCACTAATTCTACCACCAGACTTTGTCAAACATTTAGGTAGTCATTTTTTGTGTGTTTTTTTTTCACACACATTGTACTTTAGGCATGAATTAACAAATCGTGTTATGTGTCACTGCCAAACAACACGCCAATATGTGTTCAGCAACATCTCCTGAGTACAGTGATACCACCCATGCATAGGCTTGTCGGATTGTTTGGGGGCTAAAAGGCCACATTTGGCAGGTGCGCATATCCATTTTTCAACTTGGAATTTTGACATGTAGTCAACCTGCGCACATGTCCTATTTGGGACATTTGTAAGGCCGGCCAATGTATTTTGCCCCACCAAACCATATATTTTTGGAAAGTAGACACCCTAGGGTATTTCAAATGGTGGTTTTTTAACACTTTCCATGCACTAATTCTACCACCAGACATTGTCAAACATTTAGGTAGTCATTTTTTGTGTGTTTTTTTTCACACACATTGTACTTTAGGCATGAATTAACAAATCGTGTTATGTGTCACTGCCAAACAACACGCCAATATGTGTTCAGCAACATCTCCTGAGTACAGTGATACCACCCATGCATAGGCTTGTCGGATTGTTTGGGGGCTAAAAGGCCACATTTGGCAGGTGCGCATATCCATTTTTCAACTTGGAATTTTGACATGTAGTCAACCTGCGCACATGTCCTATTTGGCACATTTGTAAGGCCGGCCAATGTATTTTACCCCCACCAAACCATATATATTTGGAAAGTAGACACCCTAGGGTATTTCAAATGGTGGTTTTTTAACACTTTCCATGCACTAATTCTACCACCAGACTTTGTCAAACATTTAGGTAGTCATTTTTTGTGTGTTTTTTTTCACACACATTGTACTTTAGGCATGAATTAACAAATCGTGTTATGTGTCACTACCAAACAACACGCCAATATGTGTTCAGCAACATCTCCTGAGTACAGTGATACCACCCATGCATAGGCTTGTCGGATTGTTTGGGGGCTAAAAGGCCACATTTGGCAGGTGCGCATATCCATTTTTCAACTTGGAATTTTGACATGTAATAAACCAGCGCCCCTGTCCTATTTGGGCCAATGTATTTTACCCCCATCAAACCATATATTTTTGAAAAGTAGACAACTCAGGGTATTTTAAATGGTGGTAGTTTAATACTTTTCATGCAATAATTCTACCACCAGCCTTTGGCAAACTTTTGGGTAGTAATTTTCTCCAGGTTTTTTTACACATACATTGTACTTTAGGCATGAATTAACAGATCCTGTTATGTATCACTGCCAAACAACACCCCAATATGTGTTCAGCAACATCTCCTGAGTACAGTGACATCATCCATGCATAGGTTTGCTGGGTTGTTTGGGGGCTAAAAGGCCACATTCAAGACTTGTACATATCAGTTTTTCAACTTGATATATAGGTATGCTTGGCCTATCTTCAGTTTGGCATATTTTTGCATCCCCCCGTTAATGTTAACATCATGAAAGTTTATATTTTTATAAAGTAGACATTCCAGAGTATTGTATATGAGGTGTTTTCACATCCTTCCCCCAACCATTGTGCTAAACAAATTTCAGAGAACGTGCATGGTGGTAAATTTTTAATTCTGCTTTTTATGCACACGCCATCTGGTTTTGGCCAGCCAGTTATATGTTACTACCATAAAACTTTTTTAACCAAATGTGCAGGTATCAAATGCACCTTTAGCAGCATTCTCTAAACTAACTCCTGCAAAAAGAATCTAATTGGAGATTTGGGGGAAGGAAACTGACTAACTAAAATTTGCTGCTTTCAAAAGAAAAAAAAACAGTGCAAAGGGGTGTCTGTCCTTTTCCTTTTTTATAACAGACCCAGCAACATTTCAGGGGATTTGTTTTTTTTTTTGCAGTTGGCGGTATCTTAAAAATAAAATGTCTGGACTCCTTTGGCACCGTTGTTGGAACTTGACCATCTCCATAAATTATTGTGGAAATCAGCTTAAACTAAAATTGGAGAAAGGTGGTTCTTTCTGAATTCATTTTTTTTTAAAGAGTAAAAATTAATTATGTGTTGCTACTTGCATCAGGTAGATAGCCACCTTTTTATACCAGGCTTTTGTCTTTCTTAAGATAAGATATGGCTGCATCACCTGATCAGCCAAATCAACACCCCCTATGTGTCTGTTATAAGCCCTGATGCACACCGGTTTTGTCTGTACCCTGCCTCGGACAGTGACGTCTGACATGCCCTCGTTATGGATGGTTGTTAGCATGTGAACATCCTTCCTGTCCTTAAATTTTATTACAAGCACTTTAGCTTTGTGCAGACCTTTACATTCACTTTTTTTTTTTTTTTGGCCTCTATAAAAGGTCTGGGGAAATCCTTGGCATATCTTCTCACACTGCCACAGGCCAGTATCTAGAAACCCTAAAGAGTTTGAAACAAACGGACAATGCTATAAAAATTGTCCACATAAAGGTGGTAACCCTTATTGAACAAAGGATCAGTAAGTATAGTAAGTAATAGCTCCATATATTGCATAGAGGAGAAGTCATCCACATTGACATTAATGCCTGTGTTGGCACTAAAAGGGGTGATTTGGGGCTCAGCTAACTGTGGAGAAACCTGTTCCTCCTCCACATTCGGCGTAGCAGAGAAAGCACAGCTTCTTTTGCAGCCAGCTCACACACAGATGACATGTCAGAAAACTGACCTGGGTCAAAATCGGACGCAGTGTCAGTGGCGTCAGAGTCTGGCTAACACAGAGTTACTAACACACAATTTTTTTTATTTTATACTAAAAACAGACTAAAACTGATAAAAACAGACTAAATGAGACTAAAACTTCTGTTAGCAGCAATCTGTAAACTAACTCCTGCAAAAAGAATCTAACTGGAGATTTGGGGTAAGGATACTGACTAACAGAAATTTGCTGCTTTCAAAATAAACAAAAAAAATAAATCAGGAACAAGTATTATAAAAATGTATTTTCTGTGTGGTAGACCTTAAAACATTCTCCAATACACAGTCCAGGTTTTGTATGGCAATCGGGACAGTGAAAAGGGGTGTCTGTCCTTTTCCCTTTTTTATAACAGACCCGGCAACGTTTCTGGGGGTTTCTTTTTTTGGTGTTGGCGGTATCTTAAAAATAAAATGTCTAGACGACTCTTGCACTGTCGTTGGAACTTGACCATCTCCATAAATTATTGTGGAAATCAGCTTGAGCTGAAATTGGAGATAGGTGGTTCTTCCTG